CCCGTGGTTCTTCGTCCCTCGCGCAAAGCGACGCGTTGAAACTCGCACTTTGAACCTCCATTGAGACTGGTCTTCTCCACTGCGACATCAGAAACGCCACCTCTCCCTACCGTGAGCTGTGAATTACCTGCGCGAAAATCTACTGTGGGGGAAGGCGTGAAAAACTATTGCATTGTATCAACTCTACCGTGCATAAATACAGAACAATAGAGTGACAACCTTCCCAAGTCTCCCTAGGAGTTGGAGAAATATCCTTTAAAAGGGGAAAGTAGAGCATGATAGCGAGGAATCCCCTCCTATCCCGCGATCCATTTACATTCCCATTGTGTGGGTCGTATGCGGTGATACCCTCCCCCCTTCCTTAAAAGCGCGTGCTCCCCTTCCAACACCCCCCCCTCTCCCCAGCAACCAACCCCCTCTCCCCCATAAAGGGTAGGGAGAAAATCGAAAATAAATCTCGAGAAAATCGCCATTCAATGCCCCTCCTTCCCGCGCCCCTTAACCCTCTCAACCTCCCTCCCTTCAATCCCAACAATCTTCACTCCGGCAGCGACCATCTCCTCCTCAGCCTTATCCCACCCACTCCCCGGCACGACCGCCCTCGTCCCTTCACGCACAACAAACGTACTATACCCAAACCTAGCCGCATCAATGGCACTCGCCCTGACACAGAAATCCTGTGCAAGCCCTACTACAAACACATCCGTAATGCCCTTCTCATGCAGCATCATGGGCAATCCTGAAGTGGACACACTCGTAGACTCCGGCGTGAACGGGGGTACGTGGAATGGATCCGTGAACGCAGAGTACATCTCCACCCGGGCGTCCTGGCCCTTTTCCACCACTGCGTCGATGCGGGAGATATCCAGCTCCGGAACCAAATTTGCCCCCGGGGTGTTTTGCACACAGTGATCTGGCCACAGGAGCGTCTTGTAGTCCCTATTCGAACCATCGGGATGTACAACCGTAGTATTCGATACGAATGGAACGTTATCCGGCGGCGGATGATTCGAAGCAAAGGAGACATGCTCTCTCGGATGCCAATCCTTCGTGGCAATCTTCAACGCGAACGGTAGCAGCAACAGTTCGTTCACGACGGGCGCAATGCTCCGACCGTCTTGCACGGCTAATGATCCATTCTGACATCACCCCAGAATCAGTCCCAGCAACCCTGGGAACGGCAAAAAAAAAAAGGGCAAAACCAACCGGCGGACAAAAATCCTCCTGAAAATCAACCACCAAAAGCGCCGGCACGAAATCCTCTCGGACTTGAGAACCCATTTCGAACGAGTTTGGGGAAGCTCTTTTCTTTCTTTCTACTCGTAGAATTGATTTGGGTTGCTTGGGAGGGGGAGAGTTTCAGGTTGGTTGGCCAAGACACACACCATTCCCGTAGGGGTCTAGCCTGGAGCTGAGCTATTTTTTCTTCTTTTAGGGCTAAGGTTTCTGAGATTCTCGAGTATACCAGTGCTGTGCTCGTACGGGCCAATTTTTGCGTACCAGTGGGTTATGATATGATAATTATGATATTGCTTGCATAGAAAAAGCCCCTGAACCGTGCAAAGCTTATCATACAAATTTCCTTCATCATACATAGGCAAGGCAAATGGACACTGGAGAAGCTCTGATAACGTAAGCCAATACCCGTATTTCGAATGTCTTAGATGCGATCCACTCATTGGATGGGGCCTCGCCTCGCTTAAGCATCACAGATCCCAACATCTCGATGACAGCCACGTCAAAATAAGCTCCCCACTAGCACGAATCATTCCAGCCTCATTCCCAGCCAAGACATTCCGCAGGGAAGTGCAATGGGCCAATCACACCGATGGTTGCGCAGCATGCTTGATTGATAGGGCAGGTACCCCTAATACGAGTGCTCGAGTACTCGTACAGTACATTTTGCACCTGGACAGGCGGGTGTGCGTGCCGGTCCGTAAGTTTACCCCACGCGGCAATTATCCCACCGGCAGCCAAAGGAATAGAGTGATTTTTGGTGATGCGAGATTGTGTTGGTGGGTAGAGGTATGGTGCGGCACTTGTCGAGCGAGGTGGTGTGGGCGGAGCTCGTCTTGTACTCGTGCAGTAAGGTGCCGGGAGAGGCGCTATCGTTCGTCAGAGTTGTGGAGGGGGAGGAAGGGAGTCGCTTGGACAAGCTATCGATACGGTGCTTTACAAGTGCCAGCTATACGTCCTGTAAGCCATCTTTGGTCGTAATCTATGTGGTGGAGTCTGTAGGCTGTGGTATGGTTTGTGTTGCGCTGCTCGTTGCCGGATGATGCACTGTGGTCGTGTAGGGGTGGGCGAGGGGGTGGGACATGATACGGCTACGAGCGTTGGGACTCACTCATGCACTTGTGGCTCTCGACAGATATTAACAGCTTCCATTCCCTGCGACTTTCCCTCTGACTTTCAGGAATGTTGGAGCATTCAATAAGCCTGCACTGGAACTAGGAGGAAATCACTCGAGAACCACAGCCAATCAATTCACTAACGATTCCTGTTTGAACCCTTATAATCCAGGTATACCGCCTCAATAATCCCTCCCCCCCCCCAAAACTATCAAACTGCTTCGGCCAACCCCTCCATAAGCACCGCAATCCCAACAGCCCCCGGGTCCGGGGTATCTCCCACCTCACCCACATAGACACTCCTACCAAGTGACGCCTTCATCCCCCTCGTACTCTCCGCGCCTTCCCTTGCAGCTCTCGCTGCCTTCCTAACGTCCCCGCCCTCCACCAACGAAATAATGCAGGGCTGCAGTGCATCCACCAAAGTCCTGTCTCCGGGCTGCGCAGGGGTGTACTTCCTCAACGAGACCAGCGCCGTCATGGCCGCCTTGGCCCATACCCCCAAACTTGCCTCGCCCGCTCCGGCTTCGCGGAGGGCTTTAGCAAGGGAGTTTAGGAAGATACTATCATTTTTTTTTAAAAAAAATTAGCTCTTCGAGTAAATGATTGATGATGAATGCATGGGCTCACGAGTATAAGGCGCCGGAAGTTCCGTCCATGTTCGCTTCTACCACTTCCGCTAATGTGCTGACGGTAATTACGGCATCTGGGCTGATCCCGTTGGCGCTGATTAGCTGAATTATGGCTTCGGCGCCATTTTTCAATGCTGAACCGCAGTCGCCGTCACCGACTATTTCGTCGTAGCGGGAGAGCTCCGGTTCCGCTTTTATAAGGGCTTTGAGGGCGCTGGAGAGGGTGTGGCTGAATTGGCTGACGTTCACTGGGAGATGGGGTCGTGTTAGGGTTTGGCCAAGATCCGGGGGGTTCGGAGATGAATTGCTTACGTTTCAGTCCCGAGGGCGGAATTGGTTCTTCCTTCGCATCGCTCTCTGAGCTTTGAGTTTGCCTGTCCCCATTGGCCCAGGTTTCCTGCTTTACTGGGGCGGACCACCCGAGGGATTCGTGGGGCGCATCGAGGAGGTCTAGCATGGACTTGCCTTCGCCAAGGCCTGTGTCGACAAGCCTGAGCAGGCTGATACTGAAACCATTTCCATTGAGGGAGGTCATGAAAGCGCCGGAAAAGATCCTCTTTGGCTGGATAGAGTAGGTTGAGTCTAAGAGGGTCGAATCAGTATGCAGCTTTTAACGTGCCACGCCCGGAACTGACGCACTGAGCTGCTTCACAACCTCTGCAGTGATTGCACCCATCTCTAGGGGGCTTACACCACCAAGATTATTGAGCATAAGAACCCAGCCCTCAATCTTGTCCACATCTTCAAGATAATTCCTGTCCTTATCCTCTTTACTCAAGAGTTGGCCTAAGAGTATCTCAACTAGCTCCGGAAGCTTTGGAATCTTCATCCTCTTATACCCCTGCTCATTATGAATCCCCATCCCAATCTCTATCTCATCCGGCTTGAGTGACCCCTCATCATCCTCGTCGGAAGTTACCGCTCGACCAGGCACGTGCACGTGAGCGAGTGACGAACCTACAGACACAAGATTAGCTGCAACAAGTGAAGCTAAAGCCGAAGCTTCCTTCAATGAACAAGCTTCCGTCCTAGCAGCAGCCAGTGCTCCAACAATCTTATGAACAAGAACAGTTCCCGCAATCCCGCGTCTGCCGACTTTCCCGTTCTTCTCCCGGCCGACCCCAACGTCGTCGGCAACCACCACCATGTCTACATCAACACCGGCGGCCTTCGCTTTCTCGCTGGCGAGACCAAAGTGCAGGACGTCCCCAGTGTAATTCATCACTATGAGGAGGACACCAGAATTTGGGTTCACCCTGCGAGTGATGCAGCTATAGATCTGTTTCACTGACGGTGAAGCGAAAATTGAGCCAGAAACGGCAGCTCGGAGGACGCCATCTCCGACAAAACTAATGATTGGATTATCGAGAGGAATTTAGCAATTAAAAAACTCCTTCTCCAAATAAAATTTTCGTGGTTAATTGCGGATTTTTTTTTCTTTCACCTTCCATCACCCCCCTTGCTGGAGGACCGAGAATGATATCTAAGGGGAAAAACGACCAAAAAGGTGCAAGTTATGGGAAAACACAAACTTACGACACGAAGCTAGGCTCGTGGCCCGCTCCCCCGCCTGAGATGATTGCTACTCGACCAACATGGGATTCTGGAGAAGGCTTGCAATAGACGATTTTGTTCTCCGCATCGAGAGCCAGGGATGGATTCGCCAGAGGGACTGAGCTAAGGGCCGAGTTCAAGAGACGGACGGGATCGTTGACGAAGTGCTTGTCTAAAGGGGGCAAGCCATGTTAGAAGGGCCTGCTCTCCCTCCTCCACGATACATCCTTCCCCCGGCCCAGTTCGCACTACTGCACGGAAATTCCCTCTACCCCTTTTGCGGGTTTGATGGTTCAAGATACCAGTGGGTCTTGCTCCGTGACTTGTAAGGGAGCCAACCTATGAACCAAACTACCCCTCCCCCCCAATGAAGTGTGAGACTTACTAGACATGATCAACAGACAGACCTTCCCAATTCCGGTGCTGGTATGCTGTGGGGGAGAGATGCCTTTCAAATTTCTGGGAGTCCTCCGAATCAGGTTTTGCCGAAATGTTTCGGCTGAAGCGTCCGTGGAATTGGAACAAAGTACCCGATTGTTTCCCTGAACCTTTCGTTTTTGTTTCCGGATCGAGACGGCGAACGGAAGGAGGACAAGCCGTGGCTCAGCAGATGGGGATGTGCAAGAAGGGAGGTCTGTCCAAAGTGCGGGGAAGAAAAGAGGGGAGAGGGGACTGATGTCATCGGGTTAAGCCTCAAAACGTAAAAAGAGAAAAAGAGAAAAAAAGAAAAAAAGAAAAAAAAATCTCGGTTCGCGTTATCCGGTAGTCTGCTGTCTTGCGGTTGAAAACGCCACACTTGGCCCTTGATATTGCGGATCAGGACACTCACTCACACACACCCGAGGGAAACGCACAAACCGTTTTCTTCCGCGGGAGGGGCTAAGCGCGTCAGAAGCCTTGGCCAGTTTTTCCCCCCTTCCGGTGTGCGTGTGGTGTGCGAAGGTGAAAAAGGGGGGAAGGGATGTTGTTGAAATAAAGTAATTCCGACATGACGTCAGTGGGGTCCCGGGATGTGCCAGACGTTCCCAAACCCGGGCCTCGGGGCGAAACATCAGGGAATGCGCGGTTGCCTCATGTCTCAGCTTACGACTTGTCGTGGCCCCGTTGATCATGACGGCTCCACCCATCCACCCCCGATCCCCCCAGACCGGTGCGGGCCCTTGACTCTCTCCCTTCCACCCTACCCGCCTACCGTACCGCGCTGTGCTCGAGTACCGGTAGCATAACGTACCGGTGGCTTCCTATTGGCTTAGATGGTGGGTGGGGGATTCGGCTGGTAATGATACCGATACGGTGGCCAGCGCTATATCGTGGTTCAAACCTACGGACTGTTTGCGGATTCCTAGATAGCGGACCAATACTGCTTTGGTCTGTCCTCGGTATAGGCGTTTTAGAAGTGCCGGTCTGGAATGCGGTACTGATGCTGGCTCGGTGCTCGGTTCATTGCCGAGTAAGGGGCCAGTGAGGGGGCTTTTTTTTTTTCTTTTCTTCGGCGATGGGTATGATAATCCTAACACTATCAGGGCACACCGTTCGCAGAAGCCCGCTCATGGCTCTGCGTAGCTGCGCTTCCTACCGGTGCTGTAAATACCGGTATCATATCACCCTTATCGGTATTCATCTCATATGGTCTGACGGGAGAGTCCTGTGCATGATATTCCACTCACACTCACCATCAGAGGAGGAATCCCCTCAATGAGCGGCAACCACAACCAAAATTCGCATCTCCAGTTCACCACACCACAGCCCCGTATGGTGCGTCTGCCCCTACCCAGGTTTGCACCGGATATGGCAGCTTCACCGCATATCTACCCTTCATAACACATGTTTGTGTATGCGCACTGTTGGTCTCCGCCCGGGCCCAGCCGCCTAATACGGGACATATTTTTCCTCTGCTCGAATACAGTTGCACGAGTTCCAAAGAGCAAGCAAGAAAACAAGAAAGCAAACCATCAGGAGTGTGATACCGGATGCCGCATCGTAAGATTCCCCAATCCAGCAGACGCATGTGTCTCCTGTTCCACCTTGCCACGCAAACCTCCTTACGATCTACGATGGCTCACACCAGTGCAGTGTCTTTCACATTCCTCTCCCTGGCAAAGTATCACACACGTAACTTGTAAGTGAGTAACCTACCACCAGCCACACTATATCCTACTCGCAACCATTTCCCCATTCAACCATTATCACACCCCACCCACCAACCGTTGCATAACCTCTGGGGTTACGATACGATATGGACATCCCATCTGACCCACCCCAACCCCATCACGATAACCAGCTCACCAATCACAGGTATCAAGCGAATTACCAGTAGAGTAGTCCAGTGCTCCTTACAGGTATAATAGCCAATCACTATAGACCCCATCATAAGATACAGCAACAAGAAATCTACCCGAAAATCAATCGGATATACCGATAGGCGATTCGTCCGGGAAAAACATCCATCCCGGCCAGCTGGGTGGAGAGAGATCCGTTGCCAGATCCGGTTTGGAAAAAAATAACCCACCCACCATGTTTGCATTCACATTCGCGCATCTCGCGTCTGCTTACAGGATAGCACTCACTACTCGGGGTGTTTGTGCAGGCAATCGGGGGTTTATGATTGAGTGACACCGGTAGACCATTGCCCCCCCCTTAAATAGGTGGATGGATTACGGCACTGTAACTCGTACTTGGGTAGTTCCATGCGGTTCATCGCTCTGTACAGTACCATACGTAAAAGTTGGCACGAGTGAATCTAACCTGGCAGGAGGATTGGCGCCCTGTGCGTAGGTGGTTGTTGTTGTCAGGACTTTCGGGTAGTGTTATACCGCCCTTGCAGTGATGTTATACCTTGGAAAGCAAACATTGGCGGTCACTCGGCAGCGTGCATAGTGTGCGGTTGCCTACGATACTGTGTTTGTGTATGATAATGGGTTATGATGATCATGGCACAACAAGTGCATGACCTGGGGGATCGAGTCCGAGAGGGACATGCAGGGTGGGGGGGGGGGGGGGGGTAAGGGGGGATGCGGCAAACTCATGGAGTGGCCAGCACAGCGGTGAAGTGCCCACGGTATGATACATACAGTACCGGTACCTGCCTATCCACGAATGATACGAGTAGAAGAAACTCCTGCATCGCTGACGCGCCCCTAGTGATTTGTTCTACATCGCACAGTACATACTTAGCACGGGGAAAGGGGGGGGGTTACAAGCGGACGTCCCCTGTAGATATTGCAACCAAACCCATCACTAAAATCCCCGCGATATATCATATCACACTTCCCCACGCACGCTGTATAGTGCAAGCACTAATCTCTGCGTATGATACAGTTTCTGATTCACCATCTCGTTGCCCAGACAGGGGGTGGTTAGAGGGTTCTTCTCTTCGTATAGTACAGCACTGTATATAAATGCCTTCACCATTCTGGGTTAACCTGACCTAGAGCCTTGCATCGTATCCCTAGTCCGGGATTCACCGACGGCGAGCTGGGTGACGGCACAGTATAACTGTACAGTGCTCTGTGCCCCGAGTGAGAGAACTGGAGAGGTTACGAATTACTACTACTATCTGTCCAAGCCGGAGTGGGACTGGTGGCATTCACCGGTGTGCCGGACGTTGGAGAAGTAAAAAGAGAGGAGAGGAACTTTGCATTTTTTCATTGATGAGATTTGATCGTTGATCTTGTACCGGTGCTCGTGTCCACCCATATTCACTACAGAATCTACAGGACTGGGCCGGATAGCTAGAGGGGCTTTGGGGGTAACTTTGTTTATGGGCTCTATAGGTATTGCGGGATTGTATCGCGACTCCTCAGGCTGGGTGATTTATAGTTGTTGGTTGGGCCTTTGGAGATTTTGTGTGATGCTTGTGTAGGCCATTGGCGGTGATGGGAGGGTTTGAAGCCTTGGGAGCCCCCTGGCTCCCCTGGTCGGTGATTCTCCCCCTTGCTTCCTCGTTGAGGGAGCCTTGGTGGGAAGTGTATGATGGGATAGGTGGGCAGTTTTTTCCGTGATACAGGCGTAATAATACCTGTTAGCTAGTGAATACATATGGTCGCTAGACTTCATGCTTAGACTATATTACGGTATTATAGATACATTTGATAACGTATGATAGCAACGAAATCTACAGTGCACTGCATTATGATACGAGTATCATACTTCACCCAAGATCTTACTCGTAAATACCCCCCTACTTCCCAAACCCGAACCCCACAAATTAAAAAAAGGGGAGAAAAACAAAAAAACCATCAATAAATTGGTGCCTGAAATCTATTATCATCACGTGACATTGAAACCCCACCCACAGAACCTCACGCAATTTTCCACCCCACCTCTACATACAAAACCACACCAAACCACACCACACCCGAACCAAGAGCCAACCAACCGACCAATCAACGAACAACCTCCAAACCACCGTCCCGAAATGGCCACCCTCTTCCGACGCCTCACCTCGACCCCCTTCCTCCGTGCGCAATTCCGAACACTGATCCTCTCGGGGCAGACCTTCTTCTTCGTCCACCTGTTCTGGGAGCACTTCTACTGCGTGGGCGCCGCGACGGGCGCGAGTATGCTGCCGACGATAAACATCGCCGGGGACTGGGTCGTGATATCGAAGCTGTACTCCCGCGGCCGCGGGATCGGCGTGGGCGACATGGTCAGCTACGTGCGCCCGGTGGATGGGCCGGGGGTGCACGTCAGTAAGAGGATTATCGGGATGCCGGGGGATTGGGTCGTAGCCGATCCCGAGAAGGGGGATGAGATGGTCAAGGTGAGTCCGGGGAGCGTGGGATTGGATTGGATTGGATTGGATCGGTGGTGGTGGCGGTAGTAGTAGTAGTAGGGAGAAGCGGCCTAATACGCGGTTTACATGTGTTAGGTCCCCCCGGGGCATTGTTGGACCACCGGGGATAATTTGCCGTTCTCCAACGATTCCAGGCATTACGGACCTGTACCGCTTGCGTTGATTCGTGGGAAGGTTATCGCTAGGTTTAAGCCGATGCCAAAGTTTTTCGAGAATGGGTTGAAGGATATTGAGGATTGATTGGTTTAGCCTTCTTGGGCGTTGGTATGGCGACTCGGAGTTTGGTGTTGTGTTATAGGTACCGTATATACTCGAGTAGAGGGTTCAGTATCATTTGGGGGGGAATAATGTGGATGGTTTAAACTGTTATATACAAGCCCGCTTCCCCTATGATGGCGCCACATCCTTGATCCGTTTATACATAATATCCCAACCAGGCAAGTTATGCTTCTGCATAATTTCCTTGGTGTGGCTATCCCACTCTACACGCCACATGAATGCTCCGATGGAGCATAGTTTGTTTTTGTCCTGAAAGCCTCTCATGGTGAAGTAGTCCTTGTTAATATCCCCTCCTAGAGTAGCCGGGTCGATCTTTCCAGGCTGCTTGAAAACTATCATGGCGTAACGGTGATATGGAGTCCCCTTTTGAGCGTGGGGCGGAAGATATGGCACAATTGTGTCCGCAGGTTTAGCCAAAGGTCCAACAGCGGTAGTTTGCGCTGGGGATATGGGGATGTTGGAACTGAATGTGTTAACATGCGTCTGGCGATGGGCGAAATGTTTGCACTCACACAATCCAGTGGCACCGGTATCTGAACCCACCCCTCTTTGGATCCGGAACATCTAGAGGGTTGTTAGCCCGGGTAGCGCTAGGAATACAAAGAAAGGGCATGACGATACCAGGATCTACCACCGCAATAGTGCAGAGCATTTCTTCATCCTTAAAGGGGATAACTCTCACAGTAGGGAACTCCTCCACCATCAAAGAATCTAGTATCTGTCCTGGCGGGGCCTTTCTGCCCTTGAAATGCACCCGCACATCGACAATAGGATCGATATTCGGGAGAACATCTGGAATGACATGCATGGTCTCAAGTCTTTGCATCAGGATCGGTCGGTTCCGCTTCCTCCACTTCCGATTGAGAAGATGCAGGTATATTGGCTTGCTCGTACCAACTAACACTTTGTTAGGGCCCACACTTCAAGGGGAAGACAACATCGCAACCCACCTATCCCACAATCAAAATTGTATTTTACCCGCGGGTTGTTCGCGTCAGCGTAGATCCCCCATTTCTCAATTTGCTGCTTCATAGAGATTATTCGCCGATCGTCGTGCGTGAGTCCTTTGTACTTGATCAATTTCTTCATTTTTTCCCTCTCTTGGGCGATTCTTTCGAGCTTTTCTTGTCGGTCTTTGTATATTATACCCAAGGCGAGCTGGTATGTCTGGAACGGCATTGACTCAATAGTCCTCATCCTCAGGCGCCCTTCTCCTCTTCCTTCGGTGCCCCCGACATCCCCGACACCTTCAGCGCCACTCTTGATTGTAAGAGCCCTAGCTCGGGAACCCCCCGCTATGCTAATCGATCGAGTGACATCGAAACAGGTTGCACCCAAAGCTCGTATTGATGAGCTCGCCGATAGCATGAAGGTAGACATCCTTCCAGTGGCTGTGCCGGGGGTCTTGCAACACTTTGCGGAGTTGTGGTGGGGTTCCTTTGTGGATTGGCATGAAGATCAGGCAAAGATCCCAGGGAAAAAAAAGTTTCCATCGTAGTCGATTAATAAATCTGCTAAACCCCACCAACCCCCCCCCCCCCCCACCCACCACCCCCGGTAACAACAACAACACAATGGCCTCTAGAACCGTTATCGCAAGGACTGGTTTGTTGGGCGGAAAGAGGGTTGGAGCTCTGGAGGATCTACTAAAGGTAGCCGCTCCTAATCGCTAGAAGGGAAATCTCCCGTCATCTAACGATAGGCAGCTGTCGCTTGTTCCTCGATTTTCAAGGTGCATGGCCACCGGGGTGGAGGGTTCGGATGTGGCTTCTACCTCTCCCTCTGTACGAATCCTTCCCCCAGAGCCACCGGCAGAGATCCCCTTCGCAATCAGGAAACGTGCGGTCTCCCAGCAATCGCTTATACCCTTACTAACATTCATCAGCGCCCACCGTCCTTGCTACTATCTATCGATTCCCTACACTTGAGCCTCTGCGCTTCCAATCCTTCCCTACAACCTTCTTGCATCTCCCAACTCGCCGGGACATCTTGCATAGAGCTATAACCTACGAGGGGGATGCTGCTCGTTCCGGAAACGCAAGCACAAAATGGCGTGGAGAAGTGCACGGTAGCGGACGCAAGATCCGTCCACAGAAAGGAAGCGGGAGGGCTCGCCTCGGAGACAAAAAATCGCCCATGCTTCGAGGAGGAGGCGTAGCCCATGGGCCCAAACCTCGAGACTTTTCTACGGATCTGCCCAAGAAGATGTATAATTTGGCTTGGAGAACGGCTTTCAGTTACCGGTATCGGCGTGGGCAGTTGATTGTTGTTGAGGATGCACTCGAAATTCAAGCCGATGACTCGGGATTGGCCAATTCGATCATTAAAAAGAATGGGTGGGGCAATGAGAACTCGAGAAGTCTGTTTATCGTGAAAGAGGAGAGGCCCAATTTCATGGGCGCTATGAAGGGATTGGGGTCTGAGGGATTGGTGCTGATGAGGGAGGAGGTAGATGTCAAGGACCTTGTAAGCCTCTCCTATATGATTTCCTTCCGCCGTTCGCTTGATCAGGGGGTATTTCTCTGGATGTTACTGACGGCGGCACCGGGATATAGCTAGAGATGGGAAGGATCGTGATCGAAAGGGAAGCATTGGAGTGGTTCCAAAAGGAGCGGTCGTAGACATGTAGCATAAATATCACCATACTTGTTTTTCTCAAGTCAAGAATTCCGCTGTAGTAAATCCCACTCCCAATTTCATGATTGATATCGCTGCTAAAATGTGAATCCGGTTCCTGGTGTCAGTGGTGGGGATGTTGTGCATGTCCACCGAAATCTGACAGCAGCCGTAGCCAGGGTAAGGTGAGACCGTGGCAGATTTTCGCTTCCCGCTGTAGATCTCCCTGCAACTCCCACTCTCTTCCCCGATAGCCCAAGGTGCGAACACAAACACCCCCCCCCCCCGGGCCACCTCACTCTATTCCCCCTACGCTCTCTTCTGCCCATGGTGTTAAGGCCTTCACTCTGTACGAGAGCCGCCCTAGGTCTCTTCCACCCGAAACCAAGGACGATGCCTCTCCGCGCAAAGATCTTGAGCTCTGGCTTCTCTCCCCAAAAGGTACCGTGAGACAAAGTGGAATCAACGAGAATTCACGTTCCCCGGCGTGTCTCTAATTCGGTGTTTTCAGATGTCTGCCTCCTCTCTGGTGATCAAGGAACAGGAAGGGGACGCGCCCAACGACGTTATTTTCCGCTCGACATATGGGGTTCGCACGATCGAACTTAACCGACCCGAGGTTTTGAACGCCCTGGATGGCTCAATGGCACGAAAGATGGTTCCCCGGCTACGAGTATGACACTCTCTCCCAATTCAAACCCGCGTCGGCGCCCGGAGCTGACGGTTGATGGCAGGAATGGGAAAAATCACAAATGGCAAACATAATAATCCTCAAGGGTGTCGGCAGGACCCTATGCGCCGGGGGAGATGTAGTAGCACTTGCGAGGCTCATCAAGGAGGAGGGGCCGGCGGGCGTTCAGAAAGCAGTAGAGTATTTCGAATTGGAATACAGGCTCGACCACCTCATTGCTACCTATCCTAAGCCGTATGTTGCGTTCATGGACGGGATCACAATGGGTGGAGGAGTTGGATTGAGCGTTCATGCCCCGTTCCGAATCGCCACGGAGAATACACTACTTGCCATGCCGGAGACAAAGATTGGCTTCTTCCCTGACGTCGGAGGCTCGTTCTTCTTGCCAAGACTTGACGGGGAGATCGGGACATATCTTGCTTTGACGGGCAAGGGATTGAAGGGTGTTCAGGCTTTGTACGTCTTTTTTCACAGTTCTGGATTTTGCATTCCGTTTGGCCTTCAACCCCGATTTCCATCATGTGCCGGTAGCGGGGGGGAATCACATTGACAGTGGCGTAGTTACTCCGGTCTCGCGACTCATTACATCCACTCCACCAGTCTACCGGACCTGGAGGCGAGACTAGCGGAGCTTGTATTTGGCGACTATCAACCTCTCGAAGAGCGCTGGGAGATTGTCGACAGCACAATTGAAGAGTTTGTCACTGGTTTGCCGGAAAATACACCCATTGAACTCTCTGGTGAAACCCGGAAAGCAATCGACCGGTAAGGATCATTTGAAAAGAAAAAAAAACGCCACCCTCTCCCTCCCCGTATCGATATGTTGCAACCCAATGGAACTAACCTCCGGTTCCACCACCACCCCCCACAGATGCTTCAAGTTCAACACGATAGAGAAGATCCTCGAAGCACTGACTCGAGAAGACTCCGATTGGGCGGGCGAGACGCTCGAGACAATCAAGTCCCACTCCCCAACCTCGGTCCGCGTCACGCTCCGCCAATTACGCGCGGGCAAGGAATGGGCCATCTCGGAGACCTTTCAACGAGAGCTGCACATGGCAGCGAAATTCGTGGAGAGGAAGGACTTTTTGGAGGGCGTTCATGCACTGCTCATCTTAAAGACGTCGGGCCCCGAATGGGATCCCCCAACCCTGGAATCCTCCGACGAGAGCGTCACGGACCCTTACTTCACCGTTCGGGACGGGGATAGGCCTCGCTTGCAGCTCCTCCGCGATGAATCCGACGCCGGTTTCACCGATTACAAGCAGTACCCCCACGCAAAAATTGGCCTACCGTCTGAGGCGGAGGTACGCCAGTTGATTCGGGAGCGGAAGATGCTCCCGGATGATATCATTCCGTACCTCATCGAGGACCGGAACGGCAAGATCGGCCTCGTGGAGAAGGTCAGGGATATACTGGACAGGAAGGTTGGCACCGGTGTCGATCGGGCGGTTTGGAAGGAAGAAGTGGCGGGGCAGGATTAGGAATTGTTTCCACTCGTTGTAAGTAGACAAACAGCCTCGCGTACCGTAGGCCGTTGGCATGGACACAATCCTGTGGATATCGTGTCGTGCAAGTTACTAGGTTGCGCTCGTACAGTACCTCTACCTATGATTTAACACCGGTATCGTGCATACCACGCGAGTGTCCACCAAAAACCCGGGAGATAGACTATATCCCGGATAGAACCGTAGTAAAGCAGATGGCACCATCAGATCTATAGATTACAGTACGAGTGCGAGCAACCCAGCGACCGATCCGATTCCTACCCATCAAGCGCCCCCAATCTTTACGAACGAGATTACCGATACCGTATCACAGTCTAGACAGGACACCCACGAGTGAAGAAAAAAGGAAAGAGAGAGAGAGAAGGAGAGAAAAGAAGAAACGCCTTGACACTAAAAAGCTGTGTACTGTACCATACCATATCCGGAATGGCACGACAAGTCTATCATACGGTACAATACCGGTATCCGTACCGGCACATACCGTGATCGGGCCCACGGTGCCGCGCAGCACCGTACTAGAGTATAGTTCCTGACAATTCAAACAAGCTCGCGTAGAAATCGGTACGACAATTAGACTACTTTTGATGATAATCCGTATGATACTATCATATGATGCTCGAGTATACGGTAGACTATTATTCTGGGGTTTTCCCGTCGGGTGGATGGAATGGAATGGAAATTCGGTTGCTGTACTGTACTGTACTGTACTAGTACGAGTTCGATAGGGGTACCGTAGGATAAAGTGGTACTGTACTTGCACCCCGCTCTACTCGAGTATACATGGGAAAATTTCAACACAATGTCAAACTCCCGGTTCGTATCATCCTGCCGCCTAAATCTACGTGCCCCATTTTGTTGTGACTGGCCCGGTCGCTACGATACGCTATCTTCTTCACTCGTGACGCTTTACCTCGAATAGTGCTTCCACCAAAACTCTATCATGTGACCGTGGCCGACACTGGCAGAGGCTTAGAGTCGCGACTAGAGGCACCTGAACTCACGCTAATACAAAAAAAAAACCAATTTTTTTCATTCATTCACTCCTGCCCGTGCCCTACCTGCTCTGGAGAGCAGCGCGGGGCGGGGCCGGATACGAGTAAAGCGAGCGAGAAAGCCACCTATCCGCCACGATAAAACATTACTTTTCCTGACGCTCATCAGCTCTCACCCCCCAAGTTTCTCGCTCCATTTCCAAAACTTTAGCGCTATCGGTGGACGAGAGGACTTTATAAGGTCTTCCAGTGGGGAAGGTGAAAACGGTGAAAATTAAAAGCCAACCGCCCAATGCACCACACCAGGAATGGAGAACAAAGGTAATAAAATAAAATAAAAAGCCAGTTTTTGCCTCATAACCCCCCCTCTTCCTTCCCTCCTTCGTTCAATGACACATTTTTTCCGTTCCGTTTGTTGCTTTCGTTGCGTGCATCATCACGGTAATTCCCACTGTGTCTGCGATCGTGGGAAAAGAGGCCAATGAACCCGACCCAAGAAACCAATAAGAGAAAGAGGGGAAAAAAACATTGTACACAGAAGTAAACACTTGGGTAAAAAAGATAAACTTTTGAGGGGGGAAAGAATGGAAAAATTCTCTTTTTGTAACAAATCGCCCCTCCTCGCCCCCACGGCCGAGATTGTACAAGAAATATATATGATGAGAGGGGGAGGGGGGGTGGAGGGCGGGGGGCGGTACAGTGTCATCAAAGGAAAGGCAAACGAAAAATAAGGAAAAGGGCAATGTTATGCTGGGAAAAAAGTACAGGTGAGTAATTAGAGCAAGGGAAAACACCAAGTAACGCCGAGTATAGTACTACAGTAAGATGACACGTAACCAGGGAGGGAGGGATAAAACTGGTTGGTGAATCATCATTATCAGAAAAAAGAAAAGAAAAACCTTCAAAATCGATCATTGATTTATCGTCACATCGACATGCCGACACCTGTATCTTCCGGCGATCGTGAGCCCATAGCGAACCTAGCGCTACTGGTATCGGACAAGTCATCGAATTGTGCGGAGAAGCCCAGATCGGATCCCTGGCTCATTTGTCGGGGTTGGGAGGTCTGGTGGAGGGTGTTATTGCTGGAGCTCAAGTTTGCCGTTGCTGCTGCCGCCGCTGCCGCCGCTGCGTTGCTAGCGCTAGCGGAAGCGGAGGAGCCCTCGACAACCCGGGTGGCCTCGTTCATCAGGTACTGCTTGATGCGCTCGCACGAGCAGCCGTTATGTTTTAGTAGCTCCCCCTTCAAGTGCAGCAGCTCGTCGCGCAGCACCGACACCTGCTTGTTCAGGTTCTTCGATGCCGCCTGCACCTCTCGAGCCGTGTCCTCGAGATTTTGCGTCCACTGCTTCTTCTTACGTCGACATTTGCTCGCGGCTATTCGGTTCCGCTCGAGGAATTTCTGGCGCTTGGCTTCTTTCGCGGAGTCATCCTCTACGCTGGTTCTTTTAGTTCTCCGATTCGTGCTGCCGCGGTTGCTCGTGCGGGTCCGTGGCCGTCCTACTGCTCCTGCGCTTCCGCGGCTGCTGGTGTTGCTGTCTGCTTCTGCTAATGTCTGGCCACTCCCGGAGGAGGAATGGTTCGTGTCAGCGATGGTCGTGTACTCGTCGTTAAAGCAGTCGCCGTCGTCGTCGAACATACTCTCGCCTTGCTGGCTTGGTGTTAACGGTGTTGGGTCTTCTGGGGGTGTGATCTGTCCGTGTGCAGATCGTGTCTCTGTGGGATAGTTTACCAGCATGTTGTGCAGCGGTGACATGGTGTCGTCCATTTCCACCGGAGGCATGAACCTATCAGTCGGGGATCCGGATCGTGGGGAGTAGGGAGGGGAGAGGTGTGGCTGTATTGCGCTAGGGGGGACAACTGCGGTGTCTAGATGCACGGGCCATCGATTTTGCCCATATCTTCTCTCCATATCCTCGCGAGAGGGCCCCACAGGATCTACCCCGCCAAAAATGGTTGGCAGAGCAAAGTCACCGGGATCGTAGCTGTCCATGGTGGTCGACTTTGGGGATAGAGGAGGGGCGTGGGGTGCGGATATAGGTGTGATGGTATTCAAACCCCTGGAGGCGTGGACACCTTGCGTGGAAGCGGCCGTTGATGATGAGGAGGATGTTGTATTTATAGAACCCGAAGAGGGTGCCGTAGGTGCGTTGTCCTTTGGGTCGGACGGGGCAGCTGCGCTAAAGCATTGCTCGAATATGTTCATCTCCATGAATGCCGATGCGAAGAACCCCGGCGTATTCAACGAGGACTGCTGTTGGGGTGCGGTTGCAGCACTCATATTGATATTTTTTAGAAGGAAATCTGTTTCCTCTCTTTTTTTTCTCGCGATAAAGTATTCTCCCCTGCGAAAATATTGGCGTGGGTTCAAGCCGTCAAAGCGGACTCGGAGCACTTTTTGAACTCTCAATCCGGATACCTGGCCGCCGGGAGTTGTCGTTATCTCTGAGGATAAGGCTACAATTGTCGACGTGAGGGGAGCGGGGGGAGGAGGAGGGCTGTCAGACGGTCGTAACGACGTCAAAGAAGGTGATTATAGAGGTAGCTCGGGCGGATTAGGTAAAAGTAGCCCGGGGGGATGTTTACTGGGGATAAATTAGGCGGCGACGGGCGTTCCGAAATATTTCTGGAAATTTCCTATCTGTTGAAAACCGCCGAGAATTTTGAGCTGTCCGAGCCAGAATGGGGTTGGCTGGTGGAGACAGCTTGCTGGCCGTGCAAAACTACTGTACCGATACCCGCGAGACAATACTGCCTTTCGAATCCCAATTCCTCTCTCTATCCACTCCACTTCCCTCCTTCCCGTTTCTATCCTTCTCCTGCCTCTCCCTCTCCCTCTTTCTCTGCCTTCGCAACCGGTGGAGACTAAACGGTAGGGGAATAGTAGGAATCCTATTGAATCCAAAGGCAGCCAAGGAGGGCAGCGTGGGATGTTGCCAGCTGTAGCAGAACAGTGGCACCAGCGGCAGCAATGAATAGAATAGATAGATAGATAGAAACAATCAACAAATAACAGACAAACACCAGCAGCGACAGTGATAGGCCCCAAAGGGAGATAGGCCTCAAGAGGAATTCCTCTCGTTCCCCGAGAATGATGTCAACAATCTCCAGTAAACAACCAACCTTCAGTGCCAAAGTAAGAAAGAAAAAAGGGAAAGGTGCAAAAGAGTGCAGGCGGGAGTGGTACGAGGCCAGTGGGATGATGACGATGAGGAGTGGAGTAGCAGTAGATGAGGAGGAGGAGGTTCTTTTCCTCTCAAGAAATTAAGAAAGAAATTAAGAAGTAAAATTGCCAAAGGTGGTGCAAGAGAGGGTGATTTATTGAAGGGGAAAGACGAGGTACGAGTAGAGAGGGTGGTGGTGGCGGCGATGGTGATGGTGGGGTGTGATAGAAGAGGTAAGAAGTCGAAGAGGAAGAGGAGGAGGAAGGGGAAGGAACAGCTTAACCCCCGCCACTTATGATACCGGCATTGGGGGCCACGAAAATCTGTTCAAGCTGGTCAAGGCCAGGCCCTATTACTTGTAAACCCTGCTAAGGGATCTTCCCAAACGATGATTTATCCTGTGCAGCTTTCACGGGCACCTCAGATCAGCGGTTCCGTTTGCTCGGACCATAGCAATTGAAATATCCAATGGCACACCCTCAAAGGTGTGTGTGCGTAAGTGAGTGAGTGGTAGTGCAAGTTATGAGAGCTAATTGTGGCTCATGCGCTACCAGCGCGGGTTCTTACAGGTGCATGAGTTATTAGATGAGTTATGGGGAAATAATTTTTATACGACACTGCAAGTGGGACCGGCTACTTTTGACGGGATACTTTATACATTAACGTTTTCCCCCCCCTCTCTTTCCCTCTCTCTTTCCCTCTCTCTTTCCCTTTCCCTCTCTCCCTCTCCCTCTCCCTCTCCCTCTCCCTCTCCCTCTCCCTCTCCCTCTCCCTCTCCCTCTCCTTCTTTTAACCTTCAAAAGCCAATTGCTTCAGGAAATATTGGGTGATAATCGGCGTGGAGTGGCACCATGCAAGAGCATGAACATTTTGGGGAGGAAGGGTGTGTGCATGGTTGGATAAGGGAGGGAGGGGAGGAGATGTAGGGAGCGAGAAAACAGGAATTGTTTGCAAGGCACCATCCCACCATATCCTCAATCCCCAACAAACTGCCATAACGGAAAAAGGGTACGATAGAAGAAAAGAAAAAAAAGAAAAAAAACACCCAAGGATGCCTCTCGCCTCCTTCTCACTTTTCGTATTTTAACTCTTTTTTCTTTTTTCTTTTGTCCGAATAGCTGCTTCGACTCGAAATCGGGCTATGATACACGCAGTCCAGTACGGCATTTTCCAAATTCCATGCTCTGTATGGGGTGGGCGGGTGTACGGTATGGTAAATTGACTTAGCAATGAGCACAGATGGGTCCGTCCGCCATGGGGATGGCAGAAGAGGGTCGACAAAAACGGTTGCTGCGCTCTGTAATACCGCACATGCCTGTATTTTGTGTCCCTCCCCCTCCATTGGCGAGGTGCGACGGGCAAGGATTCTTTCGTTCGTCCGTTCGGTCGTCCGGATCAGCTACGCGAAGCCATACGCGTTAAAGCCCCGGATCTCTCCTCCGACCTATGATCCAACGTTGAAGCCACTGGAGGCTAATCCGAATTCGCTTTTTCCTGGCACCATAGCTTGGAGAACAGAAGGTCCAGTCCGGCCAGTCCAGTTCATCCAACAAGGGTCTCTTGCACATGTGAGAAAAGAAACTCTGGAAACGTGTCTATTCGAGTACTCGAGTAGTTGGCTGGGGCCAATCCTCCACGTTTGCCCTCTCATCACTTCCTGCACCGTGAACGTCGATCATCGTTTTCTTGTTCGTCCTGTTGTTGCCGGTATCGTTTGGGGTACGGTACGGGTATGTTACTTTCCCACCAACACCATCACTGGCTTTTTTAAATTTTTCTTTCCCTTCCATCTCTCGGTCGGTTGCGGTCTTCTGCTGTGGGGTTTCAATACCGGTAGTCTGGAGAAAGGAGGGGACTGTAGTCCTCAATTGCTGGGTTTTTTCCCTTTTTTCTCTTTTTTCCAAGGCCGCGAGCAACGTTTCATATCCTTCAACCCTCCTCCGATCGTGACGGTTTCGTTATATCATATAATTTGCAGCTCTACAGTAACCCCCCCACCCGGCTGAGAAGATGGGTAATGCGAGTGATGTACGAGTACAGTAAATCCACCAATTCTTTATCCCGCCCCCAAACCTGGTGATATGACATTGGAAGACAAACCATAAGTTTGTAGGGAATATATCGCGGTGCAACAGAGAGATGGGAATAAGGAAGGGTGAAAGCACGACGACCAGGCCAACAACGCCCCTCGCTGATTCCAATCCAACATGATGAAGTCCATTCTTAAGAGCGCACCGAGAGCTTCACTACACTCACTTACTCCCCTCACAGCGGCATGCGCAGCAGGAGAAGCGAACAAAATTCACTGGCAGGAACGTGATTCTCCATAGAGCCGATGCCCCCATTGCGGTAGAACATCCACTAATACAACGTACCAGTACAGGCGCACTCCGCCATCCCCAACAGCCAATCTAAAGAATCTGTCTAGTACAACAGGTGATTCCGGACAGTAGGTCGGGTTTCGGCATAAAGAAATCTGGGACTCGAGAAAGCTCATACGGGGCAGCGGGGTATCCGGATTATCGAGCTCCGGGATAGCGAGTGCGTCCTCGGATGTCGTACCTAACTTGCCGGCGTCGTATCATACTCCCAACCGATGAATAAACAAAGAAAATCATGGCTGCTCCCGGATTAGACTACCTCGCCGGCGCTCGCACAGCTTGGCCTGACTGTCTGTCTCATGGCGGGGTCTCAACCGAGTTCCTTCCATTCCTTTCGCACACCCCACACCCTTCATGGGCTGCCTGCAATTCCCCACCTGGTGGCTGTAACAAGGATCGCTCGGGCACAGTACGAGTACAGAACTGTGCGGCACGGTAAGCTTGAAACTCACCCCAGCCGTGCGATCTCCGTAACGCTCAAGGCTGGACCCACTGCCCAGATGCCGGTAATAGTTTAGCCGGGGGGTGGGGTGGGAGGGAAACAGAAATACCCATCGATCCGCCTCCATGTTGGACTGAGAATTTTTCACACCTACGGACACTGCGCCTTCATGTGTTTTAGCTGCTGCTCTCGAGGCGGGAAGCAAGGGAAGAGGGGGGAGTCATTGCAGCACCGGAGTGGGTATCACAACCCTGTCGCCTTAATATCATAGTCTATCGCCTATCAACCATGGTGCGGGACCTCGTATCTATCTGTCAATCTCTCAGCTGAGTTATCGTGCTCATTAATTCCTAAATCTCCGAACAAATTGACTCCTAAGGGTGACTTCGCGGGCTCCCGACCGGTAAGTTATAGTACGGTACTTGCATCTTATCCATTGACCCCTCCGCTGAGTCACTTGAGTGGCAATGAGTGCTAAAAAGTTTGGAAAGTCTGATATTCCGACCGGGTGCAGATAGCTACTGCCCGATCCGGCCTTGGCGTGCCTTTATACGAATCCGACTGTTTTGGACCGCCCAAGGAATACAGTGCCGATAGCGGTACTCGAGTACGGTACCAGCACTGCAGTAAGACACACCGTCCCCACTACGAGTACTCTGCCGTATTCTCACCTGACAGTACCCGAGTACCGCGTTCGAGTACTAGTACCGGTAGACTACTCGTACAATAGCACCGCACTGGCCTGAAATACCGGTACAGCACTAATTTCATTTCATACGTTTCCATTTCCGGAAAAAGTCTATCGGAAGATCATCTTGCGCAAAAAAAAAAAAGTAAAGAAAAAACGTGGCTTGAGAGAAAAATGATATGACAAGCCAAGAGCAATGCCCCCCTTCCCGGTCCCGTGCAGACTCAATCTTCGGTACGGCATCTTCACTGTGGATATCCGGTTGGGCGGTAACAGCGCTGTATCGGAACCGGTGCTTATAAAGCTAACCCGTGGCGATGATGTTTTAAACGGATAAGCCAATTACCGTAGTCAGTTCATCTACCGGTAGTTTTGCGAAAGCTTTGGCTAAACGCCACATCTTGTTCTTGGCTTCGGGTCTACAGGCACGGACGGTTCATATGATAGACTACCAACACTGTACGAGTACTTGATAGGACGCTGAGAACGATGGGGCACCATGGAAAGAACCACCCTCTAAGGAGATACCGATAGCGCTCATCATAGCTTGAAAAACGCTGGACCCATCCGGATTCCGGACCGATAACCCTAAATTATCTTCTCGGCACCCCGCCAACACTTATGGTATCCCTCTGCCCGTACGCAGAATTTCACGGGGGTTTTAGCTCGAGAGCTAGTGGAATAAATACTAGGCCTGGGGGAGGTATAGCTGAAGCCTTCTGATCGTGGCCCTGCCGATGAACGCTCCTGACTTGGGGGATCTGCTGGAGGTTTGCCCGGAATAAACGGCATTAGTACCGTTCTAGGTAAAAGGCGTGTTAGACCGTGGCTCCGTCAATACTGGTATCATACAAACGAAGGGACTGTACCCAGGTTATTAAGGATCCACAGTCGTATGATACAACAAAGTTCAACGACTATCATGGCATACGAACAGGTACCATATTTAGCTAGCTTGTCGGGCCGACCGTTAGTGCGTAGTATCCCTTAATCCGTGCAAGATTTCGCCTCTTTTTAGGGCGGTTAGTGGGCCAAGTTGACCTTTGATCTTTACCAAAGGTAGTATGCTCTTGGTGGGGCCTGGCCGGTGGAAATCATCTACTGACAGATACGAAGGTGTCACAACCGGCCCCATAAACGAACCTAATTCTCGCAACCTGGCATTTTTGGCGGTCTTGCTGCTCTGGAAGTTCCGGCACAACCCAAAACGGACCAAACCGTAAAAAGCGGCAAAGCGTGAGTGTCCTTACAGGTCCTTGGCAATCCGTCTCCGAGTCAGGGAGTCAACTGCTTGAGTACGGTAATCGTACGGTACTCGAGTAGACGACACATCTTCATAGTCCCGAGCTAATATTTCAACACATTCTTCCTTGGCCTGCTCTTGCAGAGTAAATTTTGAACATCATCCTACTGGCGACATACCGGTAGGGAGCACGCCACACAGAATATCTACAATGGACCTCATACCATTGAACATGTTCAAGCGCACGGTAGGCCGGCCAGCCCAAACATGTTGCTGACTGATTGCTACCGAATTTCCTTTTGCAGAGAAGTAATTAGTGAACCAAGAGTCATTCGAGCGATTTGATCTCCAGTTTTAGCTTCCGAGTACCGGTGGGTGTTAATCTGGTGGTCTCACAGGACTGAGGGGACAGGACGAGGGTGTTAGGTTATTGGACAGAGATTGTGCAATTAGCACTGCACTTACCGACTCCGCAAAACCTCTCTTTCACAGCTCCGCCAATGGGCGCCAACCCACCTCTTCCCCACAGAGAGTGTAGAAGCCCGACCAACGAGCTACGATGCCGCAACGTACCCATCTGCACAGGTCGCGCTTCCCATATCCACGCCGCCTCGCTGCGGGTGGGTAGGTGAGTGCGTACGCGTGCGTACTTGAGTGCCCAATTGCCATAACACACCAATTCTGGGGGCCACCCTGTGCCAGTCAATATTCCGGGGATTATTTTCAGACTGTGTGCTAGCTGCTCAGATACTTCGACGCCGCAGAGAGCATATCCGATGACCCCTCGTTTGCCATAGGGAAACGGCTTTGGGTCCCAGAGGCCTTTTAGCGTTCTTGTTTGACATATTTGGTCCTAAGGTACGGTCGCACAGTACACCGGGGCCGGGGGTTATTGGAGGAATCCAATGTGGTAGGAAAGGTATGATAAATACTTGGACTAAATACTCGACCACAAACCTTAGGGAGGAGGATATGGGAGCGCCTCCATTCTCCCCGATGGTTAAGAATCAGGTTATTAGGTGCAGAAAAGTCGTGGGAGTTGAGATATTCCTGAGCTATGCCCCACTCATGCTCGCATTGCCTCTTTTCTGTATTTTCCCAAGGGTGGGCTTCGTAACACCTGAGTTATCGAGCAGCCTTCCTTCTCCCGCTGGCTCGCGGGGAGGAATTGCCAAGCCAACCACCACAATCTACAATCGAATTCTCTGCTCCGATGGTAGATGCAGCGAGTCAATTATGCTCTCGCAGTTTCTACCACGGCCTAAATCGGCTTTCGGGGGCTAACTGAAAGGCTCAATTAGAACGCAACTGTACGGTACCTGTGTGACATGCACATACGCTCTGTCACTTCACTTTCGGGGGATACCAATCCCTTCGTTTGCACTGGCGGAACCACAGCTGAGACCACCTTTTCTCATATCTAAAAGAATAATAACGCCACCTATTCAAGTGAATCATCCGCAGATCCTCGGGTCAAAATACTTATTGGTCGGGTCACGATCAGAAGTCTTCAGCCGTACCCCTCCAAGTCAAGCATTCCCCCTAGCTTCCGGGCTAAAACTCCCGTGAAATTCGGCATACCGGCACGGACGAAGGGGTGAGATTACAGAACATGATTCAGAGCTGAGCACTCAGTGGTTTTGGTCGTGGGGAGATGATATGCGACGCAAGGTACTCGTACGATATGATAGCGGATTAGTTTGGTTAAAGCGGGGAGCAGGTATGGTGGCCTGACTAAATTGCCCATAACCCGATGTGAATGTCCTAGGGATTGTAATCAAGGATAACGATAAGATCTGGACCGAGCTTTTTATGCCCTTTTTCCTCGTAAAAAAACTATCGTGGTACGATAGCATATCAATTTTGAGTGGGTTTCGGGTCTTTCGACACCTTCGGTGGCGTGATACTGCCAAAGATCGTCCTTTAGTCTAGTATTTTTCCGAGAAACGGCGTCTCTGTTCGTTCCGCTTACCGTTTTTGGACTATTACTATATAAAGTTCTACAGTATGTATCGTTGAGATCTAGTAAGGTATTTCCTCATGCGGTTATCCTGGCGTTTCAGAGAACGAAATGCACGTCCATTTCACGGCAGCAACTGTTTTTCTGCCAGATGGCTGATCAGACCACCTCCGCTCAGACCACAATCTGCCGCTGATGTCTGTGGCCAATCATCTGTTTTAACATCACGAAGGTTTGCAGATGAAAATTCACCCACAGATAATGTCTTTAGTAATAATAGTATTACATTAGAGTACTGTATATCCTACTCGTATGGTGTTGACAGCCCTAGGGAGCCCTGGACGCTGAATGCGATGTTTGGCTAAGATAGTGTATAATGGATACGGCCGTAAGCTAGACGAATGCTCGGTGACAAGGTGACGTGTGGAAATCCCTTAGGGGTCTATTTGAACACAGAGGCTCCAGCAATTCGTACAATACAATATGCAGAGAAGTCAGACTCGGGTGGTGAGGTGCTTCGGGATGGTTTTTTAGGTGAAGATATACCTTACGACGAGAGGAGATTAGCAACCTCTCCGGGGGGATCAATCGAAAACCCAGAGACTTGATTTACTCCGAGCAACTCTCCACCCTCTCATGCATCATCCAGTTTTCTCTCTGTCCTACTCACTCTTCAAAACCTGTCCGGAAGCACCCGTGTTGACCAAAGGATAATAACCATGTATTCCGAAGATCAAAGGCTAGAGAAGATTTGAACATCCACCAAACCAAGCCCCCACGTGACCTTCATTGGGTAGGTATCATACCAGTGGTGATGGAGCGGCTGTAGCGTAGACTAATCCCCCATAAAATCCCCAATCGAGGTATGATACGACTCTGTGAGGATGAGGATATTCGGAGAAAATCCGTTGGGCGGTGGTGAACCTCTTCCCCGGGTGATCTCCCATTCCCCGTTAAAGTGCCCACTCCCGAGCACGAGTCGCATTTCAAAATCGTCATCAATATATTCTAGAAATCGGTGTCCTGACCTCAACTTATCCAAAGCACGCGCGGCACACGCGGAGCCACTCGTGGTTTGGGTGGGGTGTCTGGGAGGTTTCCTATCAGAGAACTCAGGCTACCCGTTGATTTTTTCGTGAGCTTTCACGTCCGGTGGTATATTTCCAACAGCTTAGCGGTATCCAGTGGGACCTGCCAGATGGGAAATTAGGACTACGCTGGGTCGCATTGGCATTTTTACCTCCTACTTCGAGCCCTCCCTTGGCGGTAGCTAGCACTTGGGTGACCTGTGCTGGCTCTACTTATCGCTGGGTATACGATAAGCGGATATTCATCCTCGATTGTACTCACAGCTAAACTACCCGGGGAGTTCGCTCAGGTCCACGGGGTGTTCTCCCCCAGATTTGGGCTGTCCCAAGGAGAGCGTCTCCCACAAAAACAAACAAACATAACTCACCGGAGAACCGGGCCACGTTGCAATTTCTCAAAATAGCTTTGTTGGAGGTTGTGAGGGAATCCGCGAAATAGACTGCCGATATTCGTCCATAATCTGACCCTCAAAATCAGTCTAATGCTAAAGGCTCGTCTTTGTACATACGGGTGGGTGGTATTGGCATCATAAATTCAGGGCAAGTAGAAAAGCCCGAAATTGTTTTTTTAATATCTTGCACATTCAATTGCGGTACAAGTAAAGTCTCGATGTGGGGCGACTCGATGTGGGAAAACCCCACTATAAATTGAAATCGGAATTTGACCACTAAAAGCGCTCCGTTCTCTGAAAATCTCTCTGGTGGTTGAATATGGCTCGTCTTAAGTGCGGGAGTCCCCGACCTAAGATATTTACTATGTGAGGTTCAACTCTACTACCTTAGATAGATGATTGAGACTACCATTGTCGATGTCGAGAGGGGGGGGGGTTCAGGGATTATCTATCATTCAACACAAATACTGGTAACTAGTTTGCAGGAGTCCCATGATTTTCCAACAGCTTTGCTCCGTTCTGGCTTTATGGCCATCCACTTCCCGACCTCAGGCGCATTCAACCCAATAAGATGAAGGCCATTGGGTTCTTATGATTTCGGCATTCGAAACCTACCAATCCTATTTAGGCGTCCTATCCTTCCCTTCATCCCCCCAACCATGTGAGCACTGCAGCGTCTCCTTTTCGTCTGAAAGCCCCCCTGGAAGAGGAGAAATTCGTAGGACTTCCGGAATCCCTCTGGCCCTCTCACTGCTCTCGACTTACAAACCGGAATCATGCGGGACGCGACGCCCACTTTGTTCTTTCCCCTCCCACCTCATACCAGGCCATCCTGCAGTTTTCACCCCACGGAAGCTAGATTCTCTTAGTGCTCGTGTTGCGCTGAGGTGTGCAAATCAGTAACATGAATCGAACGAGCATGCCTCCGAGAGGAAGGAATTATCTTCCAAATTTGCCGCGACGTCGGGAGGGAAAAACCAGACTCTAGACTCCGGAGCGAGTGAGATTATATGAATCTTGGCTCAACCTTCAATGATCTCCGAACCTCTCAGATTGCCCGAGAGATGGTGGAGTGTCGGATCTTAGATTGCAGCAGGGGGGTTACGGTAATCAGGGTCACTAGAAAGTTCCGGGATTCGCGCAAATTCCGCAATCGGACACAATGTGTCGAAGCAGTTTATATGATACACCATGAGCTTGGTTTGGCTTACGTCCAGTGGGACTGACCTCCGGGAAATATTTTCTCGGGCCGAAATTGCTATCGGGGAACTCTATAGGCATGGTAATGAGTTGCCCGTTTTTGAATGTGATTGGATCTGAAAGTCGGACTGTAGTCTACAGTAGAGGAACCACCAGCAGTGACTGTTGTGATACTTGTGTTTCTACGTCAGAAATAGACTTGGTCAATTTTTCCCCCGGAAAAGGCTATTCTCTACTCGAATCGCCGGGGTAGTTACAGTACGAGTGCAATTCGAGTCACTTACAATTTATTTGCAGTCAGGCGTCAAGCGGATCCCCGAGTGAGCGGATTCAAGCTTTGGAGACCACGAAGACGGTAATTTCTGCGCCAGAAGCCGGGTATTTTTCGTCCCTAAGAGCTTTGGCACCGGTAATTAAGGAAAAAGGATCCGGGGTGGAAACCCACAGGAAGAAGCCCCTCCACCTCTAGCAACCGCAATCGCGGAAAAGGGCTGAGTAAGCCGTCCCACCTCAAATTGAATTAGCCCCAATGATCAAAATTTTTTGAAGGACTCCAGAAAGATCACGCTTTCCCACCATCGTCTCAATTTCCCCTCACCCCTCCCCTATTGCCCAGAATGGCTTCCTGGAGAGCAATTTTTGCTCCGCTCTTCAGAAGTGCCGCAAGGCTCTCCGAGAGTTTTGCTGCCAATTCGTGCAGAATCTCATCAAAATACCCACCGTCTCGCAAATCCAATGCCTCGAGTCCTATTATCGGCTCCATTCGGTCGATGGCTACCTATGAAAGGAAGAAGCCCCATGTTAATATCGGTATGACCAACAACAATTGCCTCCCTTCCTTCCTTCTTGGGAATCTCTGCTGACTTGCCTGGTTCTGTTTGATAGGTACCATTGGACATGTCGATCACGGAAAGGTTAGTGGTCAATGCAACTGGTGCCCGATGAGTGTAAACATCTGACAGCCAATTAGACTACTTTGACTGCTGCTATCACAAAACACTTGTCTTCAAAAGGACAGGCTAGGTTCCACGATTATGCTTCCATCGATAAAGCCCCGGAAGAGCGAGCCCGTGGTATCACTATATCGGCCGCCCATATCGAATACGAAACCGATTCTCGCCATTACTCCCACGTCGATTGCCCTGGACACGCTGATTACATCAAGAACATGATTACTGGTGCTGCCTCTATGGATGGTGCTATTATTGTCGTTGCTGCTTCCGATGGTCAAATGTAGGATCTCTCCACGATTTTGGGAGAGATCACTGTTTTCAATGCTAAATTCCGGTTTAGGCCTCAAACCCGTGAACATCTCCTACTCGCTCGCCAGGTCGGTGTCCAAAGAATTGTCGTCTTTGTCAACAAGGTCGATGCTCTCGAGGATGCAGAAATGTTGGAACTCGTCGAAATGGAAATGCGTGAACTTCTGTCCACATACGGCTTTGATGGTGACGAAACTCCAATTGTCATGGGATCTGCTTTGTGTGCTCTTGAGGGCCGCCGACCGGAAATAGGAGAACAGAAAATCAGTGAACTCTTGGCTGCCGTCGATGCTTGGATTCCGACCCCTCAGCGTGATCTTGACAAACCTTTCTTGATGCCTGTTGAGGGTGTGTGGAAACCTAATAAAATACACACAATCCTGAGCCCCTGGGCTAACCTCTTATAGACGTTTTCTCCATCTCCGGACGTGGGACTGTCGCCACTGGTCGTGTTGAACGTGGTATCCTCAAGAAGGGTGAAGAAGTTGAACTTATAGGATATGAGGATGTCCCGATCAAGACTATCGTTACTGGCCTCGAAACCTTCAAGAAGGAACTTGACTCTGCCCAAGCTGGTGACAACTCTGGGCTTTTGCTTCGTGGTGTTAAGCGTGAACAGGTCCGCCGTGGTATGGTTATTGTCAAGCCCGGTACTACCAAGGCTCACAATAAATTCCTCGCTTCACTCTACGTCCTTACCAAGGAGGAGGGTGGACGCCACACTGGATTTCATGGTAACTACCGCCCACAGATGTTCTTGAGAACCTCCGATATCCCAGTCACCATCGATCTCCCCGAGGGATCCACCGACGATAGCCACAAGATGATCATGCCTGGGGACAACCTTGAGGTTCAGTGCACCATCTTCAAGCCTATGGCTGTTGACCCTGGTCAACGATTTAACCTCCGAGAGGGTGGCAAGTGAGTTTACATTTTTCCTATTTGGACTGCTAGGATAAATTCTAACATCCCGTGATAGAACTGTTGCTACTGGCTTGGTCACCCGAATTCTTTAGTGTCGGCTTACAAAATTCTAGTGTTTATTTTACTTATATCATGGACGTGATTTTTACAAAGCAGGGTTGAGATGACTTTTTTCTATGCCTACACTCTCCATTCACCATGATCTAACACCGTTCTTTTCTTTTGTATGGGCCAGTGCAGCAACCTGTTCATATATTTCGGGTCTGGTCGCGTGAAAATGAAAGTGAAAAAAAGGCGATTGTGCGCATCGCGTATTACAGAAGTACAGTATTGCCATAGAGCAAAGGTGTGGTTTCAAGGAATAGCCCGAGAAAACACGATAACCCACTCGCAACACCCTGGCGCCGTATGAAGCATCATAGAGGAAAAGTTCTAATCTATCATTACTAAGAGACGGATCAATGAATTTCCGCCATGGAAATGTACCTGTGAAACCGTCAGCAACATTTACCCGCCAAAATTATCAGTTGACTTGCCCTTTATTCTCCACAACACCTCGACTCCTAATAACAGCCGTGTACTTGACTACCCACTGCGGGACCAGCTTTGCGTCAGTCTTGAAGAGCCCGAACTCATCCACAACCAGTTGCCTTAAGGTATCAACGGGCAAGATATCCGTGCAGTCGTTATGAGTCAACAACTCGATACCCCTCTCCTTGGCGTAGAGTATCAAGGGCTTGGGCACGACACAGCAATCCCGAACATTGATCTGGTCGACCGAAGGCTTAACGTTCGTCTGTGGTAGCAACTGAGACAACCTAGTGGTTCCAAACTCCGCCAATCCAATCTTGGATATCTTCTTCGCGGAGTGCAGACTCTCGAGAGTACGGTATGTGCGGACCCATTCGCTGACGTCTTCCTCCGAGGATATGTCTTCGTCCTCGGCGTCGAAGGAGATGTTGGGGAAGGAGACAATCAATAGGTCGATGGAGGATATTCCGAGCTCCCTGCAAACTAGACGTACGGCCTCTTCGGTGTGCGTGCAGCGGGAAGAGGACGGGACTCCCGGGAGGTAGAATAGTTTTACTTATGAATGATCAGTAATTGAATTCCCGTGTGCCTGGCCGGCGCGGTAAAGTCGAAAAGAGGGCTTAAATTACCGGTCACATCGTATTCTTCTCTGTCCTCTGCCAGTCCGTGCGGCTCACTACTTTCCGCAGGAACGTACAAGACCCCATCTGACCCTAGTTTTGTCCACTCTTCCGGCGCCAGTCTTATTTCCGGGCCGCTTGTCGCTGCGGGGTTCGGGCTCGCGCTAGGGGGGAGTGCGGGGGAGGAGGCCGCTTTGAAGTTTTCGCGCAAAGAGTTGACCAACTCCGTGTTCGACTTCTCGAGGGTTGGTTTGCGGATAACTTCTGCGCCAGCGGTCATGACATTTCCGGTGGAGAGGATATATCTTGAAACCATTTTTCCTCTTTGGCTCTGGTGATAGCAGAGTATCAATGGTGGGTGGAATCTGACGAGGCGCAATGGGAGTAAGGAGGCGAGAGAGACGGGAGTCGAGTGTACTAAGGGAAGTTTGTGGAGAGGAAGGATTTCTCCTAGAAATAATCTGACACGAAGGGAGAGAAGGAAAACATTGCTTACAAACGCATAGAATGTTCGTAGATTCCGAGATTCTAAAATCCGGCGTTGTAATCCTTAATGTTGTCGTTGCACAGGACGCTCGACCCCAGGGAACTTTCAAGAAAGAGGCGATCCACCCCACCTGCCGTATGCACAAATAAGCCGCAACGCTTCTCCCTCAGCTCACTTACCGAATAATGACCCTTCCGCTACATCTCCTTTTCTCCCCAACGCCCCCCTTTCATTCTTTCTATCAGTGACTTTGTTCAGCTCTTTACTTCTTTTTGGTCCCTCCGCACAGAGGTGTTTCCTTCTGTCTAATGGCCATCAGGTATGTTAGTTGGGGTCTTCGGTGGCTTGTTGGGTGCTTTCCAATTACTGATGGTCTCCACCCCTGTGTAGATATCTCGTCCTCCTCTCTCGTCAGGGGAAAGTGGTGGGTTAAGCGGAGTATCCCCCTTGCATGGAGGAAACGTAGGACTGACTCTCGGGGATGTCCTCCAGCGTTTGGCAAAATGGTTTACGACTCTGTCCCCTAAGGAGAAGGCCAAGATAGTTAAGGACGTCACTGCTTTGGTTCTCGCCCGTAGGACCAGGATGTGCAATTTTCTCGAGTACAAAGGTCTCCGCCCCTTCACATCTATCCACCCAGCCCAGGTGAGGGGAAGAGGAGATGGGTGGCTAATAATTTCAGCCTACAGATTCCAAAGTAGTCTACCGCCGCTATGCATCTCTCTTCTTCATCGCTGGAATAGACTCGGGAGACAACGAGCTTATAACCCTTGAGATTGTCCACCGCTACGTTGAGCAGATGGATAAGTACTATGGGAATGTTTGCGAGCTAGATATCATCTTCAATTTCCAAAAGGCCTACTTCATTTTAGACGAACTCCTTATTGCCGGCGAGCTACAGGAGACATCAAAGAAGAATGTTCTGAGATGTATCTCTCAAGAAGACGCTCTTGAAGATATGGAAGTGAGTCCCAAACCCCCCCACCCTTCATCCTCAGCCTCAACCTCCCCTCAATTTCCCCTTCTTTCTGGACCCCTACACATTCTCTCGCCGTCGTCGAGTGCCCCCCTCCCCTGCGTTTCTGCTCGTTCCTTGTTTTTGATGAGTTTTATCGCGTCTGAAATAGTTATCGTAAACCAAACTAGCTTGTTCATGATTTACTTGTCGGCCAGGGTTCATGTTGATGGTTTGTTTTCTGTTTTTTTTTTTTTGATGGAACTTAGCTTGGCAGTGATTACTCCATTCGGTTCTCTAAACGATATATCCACGATACATGAGAAGAGAGGATGAATGGAAACAAAGAGAAGGGAGAGTGGGATGAAAGATTCATATACTGGACTAGAAATTAATGGCTGAGGGTGGAGGGTGCTTTCTTTCTTGCTTCCATGTAATTATTTATTGGAGTTTGGGAGGTGGGCTTCCCGGGAATGACATGCCGTGGGGTATCATACCTAGTACATATCTAGCGGCTTCTCACAATAGATACATCGAATTTCCCCAGTGAGAAGTCAATTGTTCTGCGAATACCAGCAGCCCGATCGCAAGAAATCGGGCGTCCCACCACTCTGTAGCGCCCACTCGGTCCTCGTGCTCTGGGACTGGACATTGCAAGCTTGTGCGGTACCGCAGTGACAGTGTAGTCTGTAGTTTACGGATACATCCCAGTCCCACAACGAGACCCCTCCCGGGAGGTTCAAGACACTTTATCCTCCTAGAAACTCTAACCGTCCCTCCACGCACTCAAGCCTTGGAACCGTTTGTATCATAATACCGATACACAAGCTACCGTACTGGTATTATTAACCTACCCGAGCACGGTACTGTTGATCCAACCCCAACCAAACCAAACCAGACCCCTCCCCCCCCACCCCAACGTTACACGATCGACAGGGACCTCCGAGATCAAACATTGACGTTGTCAATCTCTACTCGAGCAGCTCGAGCTCAGGTCGACCACCGGTGCCAGTGGTTGGATATAAAAAATAAAATATAAAAAAGTAGAGGGCTATGACACCTAAGCTACCATGATGGACTTCTTTTTCCCTGAAAAAATGTGTATAAAAATAAAAATAAGAGTAGGATGTTGTATTTGTACTGTACCGGTAGGTAAAGAGTATTAAACAATGATGAAATATTAACAAGGGTAAGGATAATTCGAACAACGAAAGACAACGAATTAAGAATTGAATACGTGAATCGCCCCGCCAGTAAAAAAAAAAAATTTTTTACTGCAGCAAGGTGAATCCCCTGGGACAAAAGATCTGCTTCACTTCACCGATCACTCCTTTGCTCCCTCACAAAAACTCCATACTACGCAATAGCAATCACGGACACAGCACAGCGCAATCGGTAGGTATGTAGTACAGTACACTGTGATAGCACAACACGGTACATACGAGACGTAAACTCATATCTGCATCACTCGAACTATGGAGATGAAGGAATAGAAGGAAAGCGAAGCGAATGTCTGAAAAGGAAGAGAGAGACGCCTACAATAGGATGAAATAAACGTGGGCGAGTAGCGAAAGAGGAAACTCTTGGTCTCCGAAGGAAAAAAAAAAACAAGGTGGAAGAGAAGGAAGGTATAAAGGGGAAGAGAAGCAGAAAGAAGCAGAATGCAACACCATCCAATGCAAAACGAGCCTGTGGGAGAGAACTAGAAGGAAATAGAAGAGGAAAAAAAATTAGAATGAGAATAAACCCAGGTATCAGGTGAAAGAAGGTGGGAAGGAAGCAAAGTAATTGTGATAATGGTCGCTTTGAAAGGAGGGGGGCGGAAGAGGAAGGGAAAGGAGGCATGGAGCAAGAAAATGAGGTACATAAACAATCGGAAAGAAAAAGCGGGAATAGAAAAGACGAAAAAAAGAACAAAAGTATAAGCGTATCGCACGACTTTTCAATGCCAGAGGGGGGTTTTTTTTGAAAAAGGACCCTGCCTCTGCAACCTTCAATCAGACACACGATCACAAACGGCAAAGAGTAAAAAGTAAAGCAGTCCCCTAGTTCCGAGCCCCTCTATAATATAACGCCCCCCCGGAGGACCCAAACAGACCGACCGACCAACCAACCAACCAGCGAGCGAATCGAGTGACGAAGCAACGAGAGAAAGAGAGCCCAGCCTACCCAATACTGCAAGGAAACATGTTTTTTCATAAGTGGATGCAATATGCAATTATCCCAGGCTATATCTGCCTCGACCAATAACGCTAGTCTCGACACTCTTCTGTTGCTGTTCCCTAGGCGCCATATCTCTCAGCTGCTTCTCCGCCCACTCTGCTCGATTCTTCCAGATTTTCGTCTCCTCCTGGGCCTCACGCAACATCTGGTTCAGAGCAACTGCGCCCGCCCTGCTGTGTAGAATGTTTAGTTCTCTCCTAGCGGCATTGACTTCCTCGGTCTTAACTTCTACAAGCTTTTGCAGCCGCCTGATCTCGGCGTAAAGTGTGGAATTGCTCCGTGGTGCCTTCTTCCCTAGGAAGGAAGAATCGCCGCCTCTCCAGATGCTCCGGTCCTCGACATCACTTTCGGTAGACGCTCGAGGTCGTCGATTGGGCGTGGCGGGCTGCAACGGAGCATTTTGGGTTCGGACGGGGGATTCAGGGAGTGCTGGTGACCGTGGTACGGTGGCACAGGTTGGCGAATTCTGTGCCGGGATCTTCGGGGTAAGTTTGACATCAACCTTCGAGTTTGGCCGTGTCAGAGTCAGAGTAGGGCTAGCAGGGGGAGGTTCGATCAAGGGTTTGTCTTCAAAGATCGAAAAGGCTGGCACTACCTTAGGCTTCGTCTTGTTCTTGATATTCAAAGGCTTAGGAGTTGTGTCATCTAGACTGAACTCCGAAGGGTCAAACAACTTGCCAGTCTTAGGCGTGAAAGATAACTCCGGAATTTCAGCACCCAACTTAGGAGCTCTTGGTCTCAGCTCTGATGGTTTCCGTTCCTCTTTTGTGGTATTCGCCGGCCTTAGTTCCTCGGGGGACTCCAATGAGGTCTCCCTGACTACTGGTTCGCCCAAGAATGCTAATCGGAATCTGGTGGCAGCTTGCGCTGCAATCTCAAGTCCAGGAGAGGAAGCTCTTGAGCTCTCACAGGAAGCCTGGTGGGGGACTATCTCCTCATTACCCCCTACCTGTACGGTAGCAGAGCTTGATCTCGTAATTGTTGCGGGCATGCTATGTCTATGGGTTCCTTTCTTGTTCCTGATTGGCGTATCAGGCGCGATAATTCTCCAATTCGGCGATGATTCCAGCGACTGGGGCGATACTTCAGGCACAGGGCTCATGTTCTTGGGAGCAATGGGAGTGCTGAAAATATCATCTTTCTCCGGAGAACCGCGTGCTGAGGGCCCTAGTACATCATCGGCAGGCGATTTGCTGGCGGGCGGTGCTTGAGGTGGCACCCGAGTTGGTGTCTGGGAGTTATGTTGGCGCATTGGTCCAAACTCGAAGGGTATTCTACCCCGCTTCGACGCCTTTCCTTTCTTACGCAGGGACGATGTACCGAACCCACGGAAAGATGGTATGCTCGAGCTTCTCTCCTGGCTTTTGGAACGAGCGCCTGCATCAACATGCGGTGCAGTGTCCGTAACAGCTTCTGGGCCAGTCACTGGAAGGTCATACGACTTGGCAGTGATACCTAAAGCATCTATTTTTTTCAATTGACAACAGATATCTTCCCAACTATTGATTAACATCTCACAGACCAAAGCGGCGCGCTTTGTCCTTTCCATCTGCATCTTCGTGTAAGCGCTGCTGTGCCTGTTGGTATATTTGCTGAGCTTTGGAGTCGCGTTTGCTGTTGGCACAAGCTTTGGAGGAACAAGCAATCCGGTTCGATCCTCGCCCTCTGATACGAGGATCCGGTCCGACTTATCGCCTAATAGAAGAGGCCCAAATATTATGCTCAAGGCATCCTCCTTCATGGCCGTGAATTTCTCATGTGGATCCCTGAGCCTGGGTTCCATATCGAAGTCGGAAGCGAGGCTCACAGCACGCAGCAGCCCAAAAACTGCACAGATCAGTGAAATCCGGAAATGAAGGTTGATGGACGCCAAGGCCAATGCAATCATTCGAGGCTTGACCTTGTCTGAAATGTGGTCTCCAAGTGAGGGGCCAGGAAAAGCAAAGGACTGGATATTATACAGCGCTTGGAAAATGGCGGGAGAGCCAAGAAGCCCGCCAGGGAGACAACAGAGTAGCTTCTTGAGAAGATGGGTGACATCATGGACATTATATCGAATATGGCTTGGTAGCTTGGCCAACGATATGGTTTGAACAACCGGTTCATTATTATTCTCCTCGAATTGTTTTTGGTAGTAGTCGTACAACGCATATGTTGTGGTAGGGTTTCCGGGCACTCTGAACAAACCAGGTGTCTTAAGCCCTGTGATGTTTGCGCGTTAGCCAAGTTGACAGCTTCACTAGTGAGAAGAGCCTACCGTGGTTCAAAATGAAAGCAGCAGCGGCGTGCATGCAGGTCGGTATTAAGATATCCCCAGGGGTTAATTCTGGCGGTAGAACAAATGGTGTGACTCCGCCCAGTCGAACGAAATCCTCCAAATGCGTTCCTTTCAAAGTGTCCCTCTTCCCTCGCCCTATTGCTGCGAGCTCACTGATGCTACTCCCTCTCCTGCGGCTTAGAGACAGTTTCATGGTGCTGTGGTGCTTAGAAACATCGACACTGGCAGATGCCCGACGCATCAGTTTATTCCACAACTTATTTCCGGTCAGCGGGGGAGTGTTAGCCTCCTCGGGGGGTTTATCCTGCGAGACACCGGAAACCGTTATGGTCCTGGCCTCCTCCGCATGGCGTTCTGGAAAGGGTTGGATTCCATGCTTCCTGGCAAGTTTATCAAACTGTTTCGTGAAGATATCGGTGTTCCGCTCCGTGATTGTTCCACCGACAGACTCTGCAAACAAACGCTGGCTCATTCCACTCCACACTGAGCTAACGGTCTGACTTCCTGACATTGTATTTGTCGAGGGGTAATACGAGGTGTTGACAGTACTTCTCCCAATTGATTGCTCTCCATCAACATTCAAGGGGAACGGGCCGGTGGCCCTCACCGATCGATGGTGTGTCCGGACTGAAGCCCCGAGGCCCTTGAGAGGCGAATCGCCTACAAGCAGCTGAGATGCAATCCCCAGATCAAAGGGATCGTCTCGGAGCTCCTTCAAAACGCTGGAATTTCGGGAGATTGAGGTAGGAAGGGTAGTGCACCCCAAAGCCTCCTTCGAGACCGAGGGCTCGTAACCACTGCCAGAGAGGGCAGCGAGTGACGGACGGGAACGGGAAGACCGGTTCCGCCGAGCGAGCATGGAGGGATTTTGCATTTTAGGTTTTTTTTCACTCTACTTTGTCCGCCAACGCTGTTAGCCTGCGCAGCGAGCCTGAGATGGGGGAGTCATTTTCACACCGTACTTGGCTTTCCTTGCTAGTGCATATAACAGAGCCCGTTAGACTATTCACAAATATTTCTGGCGTCCGACTCAGAATGGTTTCAGGGGAAGGTATACGAAAGACACAAGGGCAGACGGGGATTGAGAAACAAAGAGAGAGAGAGAGAGAGAGAGAGGAAGGAAAGGAAAGGAAAGGAAA